ATGTCAAATTTGGTGAAGATCGGTTCAGATATAGCTATAGCTCCCATATGTACTGTTCATCCGATTTGTTATATTTGTTACCCACAGCTGTAATATGCACTCCGTAACAACGATATGCAGGGAAATGTATCAAATACAGCTCAGAAATATCTTTGCCAAATTTTATTGAAATCGGTTCCGATTTGGATATAGTTCCCATATATATCTTTATCCGATTTCAAATTAATTGTGCACCAAATGAGCAACACAAGTCCGAATTTAAAAGATACAAATGCTTCGGCATATATAGTCCTTTGAACTTCAAATTAAAATTATATATAATTATAATTATGATTATAATTATAGCGTGTATGTTGAATACACCCATTAAAACGTTTAATTGTTATGCGGAGCTCTACTAAATTAGCAAAGTGGTGTAGGGTATCATAAAGTCGGCGCAGCCCGACTTTAAGACTTTCTTTACTGGTTTGTTTTTTGTTTATTTTGAATTCTGAATGAATAATATTAAAATAGAAATGAGTGCACACTACGATGTTAAATGGCGATCTTTCATGTAAAAATTTGACATCTAGCTTTCAAGTCCAGGATCTATATTGTGTTTCAGCTGACAGATGCGAACACATTGAAACTAACAAAAATGACTGACAAAGCGTTATGGGGCTCATTTGTAACCCCCCAAGAGAATGTTGATTGGGGGTTCAAAATTCAATAGAATACAAAATTTTCTTTTCTGACCACACATTTGTTGGGAAAGTGGACTGGGGGGGTAAACTAATGTGCGGACTATATAAAATAAACTCCGAAATGTCGAACTGGGACTCATTCAGTCGGAAATTGTTGCAGAAACATGTAAAATATTACGAATCTTATAAAGAAGCACGGGACCGAACATTTGTTTAATCGTCATTGAATTATGCTATGATGGAAAATATTGCTCAAAAAACATATCGCTCAAATTAAAGCCTATGGCAGAAAAATAGATTAGGCTATTCAAAATATCTAAAACTGACAGTAGGTGAAAATCTTTTATGACTTTTTTCCATGAGTATTCAGCAACACGGGCCGGGCCAGCTAGTTTAATATAAAACAAGAAATGGCATTTTCCATCACTTTGGTTAAAACTTCCGGCGGTAGGTTCTCACATTCTTGACGGATATTGTCTTTAACAGCTGAAAGAGTTTGAGGCTTGTTGACATAAATCCGCGACTTCAAAAATGCCAAAAAAAGAATCCTGTAGCAGTAAAATCAGGTGATTTGTCTGGCCAGTGCAAATTGCCAAAATGGGAGATTAGGTGCCCGGGAAATGCATCCTTCAGCACGCAGTGTGTGCCGTTGCATCGTTCTGTTGGAACCACATGTTTTCCAATCCCAACTCATCAAGTTGCGGCAAAAAAAAGTCGCTGATCATTGCTTTGTAGCGTTCACCATTCACAGTAACCTTGAGCTGGCGTAATGGCTCTTCGCGGGTTACACGTGGATTTTCAGTGCCCCAGAAGCGTATATATTGTTATTTACGTACCCGTTAAGATGGAAATAGGCCTCATCACTCATGATTAGTAAAAATAATTCTTGGTGGTGATTAAATAGTCACCAAAATTCCGCGCTCTGGGCAGTGTGGCGTAAAATTGTTTATTAACGTGTCAGAACTGACATTGGGGTCCAATCGTAACATTTATAGCATTTTCTGATAGGGTCTAAAGTGATGTATTTGTGAATTCGCAGGGTTTAAAAATATTCACGGATAAATGGAAATTTCGGTAATTTTTCACACAAAAATTGCAGTTAATTCCACCCTCTAAACATTATCCGATGACCATCCAAAATGATAGGACACTGCCCTGTCCTAAACTCTTCCCACATGCAAAATTTCAGATTGAAATAGCGTAAATTATCAAACTATTAAACAAAAAAAAAAACGCTGTAACAATTACTTTTGGAAAATTATGCGGACTATCGGAACGGCCTCATCTAAAAAAATTGGGAAAAAATAGCAAACATTTGGTTTGACATGGTTTACTATATTTGTTTAGCTCAGAGGGGCTCCGCCGATTGGAGCAAAACGCCGAATGCGTCGAGCAGTGGACCGTAGGGAATATGCAAATAGAATAAATAAAACACAAGGGTTTTTCTTAGTATTAAATTAAACTATTTATTCTTAGTTTGGTGGGTGGGTAACAACATTACCTTTGGCAACAATATGCCTTTCTGTGCACAACGATATGTGCTGCAAACGATATTGCGGGTGTTGTCTGTCCGAAAGACAGCGAAATACCACTTGATGTCTGAAGGAGGAGGCAAAACAAGTGACAAATAATTGGTCGTTAAAATGTCAAAGGCGCTAGCACAAGGTTGCAATAAACCGTAGCGCGTACATTTTAACGAATAATTACGGACCAAACCAGGGGTCAATAAAAGGCAGTATTTAATGCGATTCTAAATTAAACAATATTGAAGTGAAGTAGTTTTTTCTGCACGAAATTTCTTTCTGGGGTGGGATCAGTGCTACAGCTATTTGTGGCTTTAAAACCATGTAGTTTTTAAACCAAGTACCATTTTGAGAACGGCGATACATTCATATTATTTGGTATAGAAAACTACGAAAATGGACTCAAATCGGCATTTCTGTTCCATCTCAATTTGAAATAATTTCAAATTATTTCATTTTTATTCAAAACAATGGGTCAAAACTTAAAAAATACTGCTTAAATGTGGTATGAATTGAAGACCTGATTGATATGTAATGTTCCTTAATTTTCAAAACTAGGGGACTAGTTATATAGTATATGAAAGTGGTGTTGTCTGCCAAGCTTTTAACTCAAAAACAGCTGCATTGATTTTGAACATTTACACTAATTTGTAAGGCTCTCTTGGCAGAAAAGGACAAAAAAATCACCCAAAAATATGGATAAGCAGATATTTTATATTTTTTATTTGATGTCATTTGTATACCCTCCAGCATACATAGTACGGAGGGTATATTATTCCGTTTGTAACACATCGAAATAATCATTTTAGACATATCAAAATATATATATATTCTTGATCAGCGTAAAATTCTAAGACGATTCAGCCCTCTGCGTCAGTCCGTCTGTTATAATCCCGCTAGAGTCAAAACGAATAAAGATAGAAAGCTAGAGTTTTGCACTGATCAGTATTTGGTTTGCTGTCAGGTTAAGTTCGAAGATGGGTTTTATCGGTTCACGATATCGTATATATCCCATACAACGGCACCCCGATATTCGGTATTTGATAATTGTAGGCAAATTTTTAAATAAAATTGTTTGAAAATCCACACAAGGAGTTCTATCCGAGTACTTTACCCTCTGGAAGAAAATTGTTTATAAAGGTCCAAGATATCGTGTAGCCACCCATATAACGGTACCTCCCTATATTCGGTATTTTCATGATTTTAGCTGCATTTTTCAATGGAATTGTTTTAAAATCCATACTAAAGAAGCGACTTGACCGAAACCCACGTAGCAGTGGCCGAAAAACGGCTCGTGAGCTGAACATGTCGCAATATTCCATTTGGCAAATATTGAAAAATGAGCTCGGGGTAAGCCATTGAAATTCCAAACAGTGCAAGAAATTTCACCGCAACAGAAAGAAAATAGACTCAAAAGAGCTAAAGAGTTGCTTCGCTTGGCCGAAAGCGGTGAATTGCCGAATTTGGTTTTCTCCGGTGAGAAAACATTCGGTGTCCAGCAGTTTGTAAACAAACAAAATGATCGTCTTTAATTGCCAAAGAGGACAGATGAAAATATTTATTTAATATTTATCCCTCCCGGCCGATGTCACCATAGCTAATCATGGTTGATGACTTGGAAAACAATTTATTATTTTTCCGATGTTTGGAGTTTCATATTTTTAATTCCACGACAAAGCTGGATATTGAGACCGATAAATATTTATAAATCATAAGAATATCTGGCTTTTTGTGCATTGAGAGAATTTGAGATCTCCCACAGCGTGAACGACATCCATTTTGAAGATAACAGATGAGACCACTTTTCAGTCTATATATTTATTTGACTATGACTGAAGATTAAAAGTCATTTTTTATAAAGACGTGCTGCTGCCAAGCTGGGCTAAAGACTCTTATGAAGAACATGAAAAATTTGCCCTTATGGGCGTGGAGAATCGATTTAAGAATATTATTCCAACCAAATTAGATTGCGAACTGTTTTGCTGTGCATCGAATTATCAACTAAAAGCCCTCCTGCGCAAGGAATACCTTTTTGTTGCGAAGTTCTGTTTTAGTAGCCAATTCAGTATAGATTCGTAACTTATCCCATCCATAACTCCTCTCCCGTCTCATCGAACCCCAACGCATGGAATACATAGCTTAAATCCATTGAAAACGTTTGTTTGTCTAGATTTGCTGCGGGTTTATGGCCTTTGTATCTGCAGACTTACAGACAAGTCTTATGTGCAGGGGGTAGAGGGGGCGAGTGTTCACCATCAAAACAATGCTGCTAATGAGCTTAACTTTTTCGTTCATTTATTGTTATGTGTGGCGCATATTTACAAACATTCTTCCGCCAGCAGTGCAAAACATCAATAGTCCAGCCGACGTACGTACTACCCCTCGACACAGCATTCCCTGCCTATTTCCACCACCAAATCACCTTCAAGACAAGGTATGATTATTTATCACATCTGTCACCACAGCTTTCCACTTTCCTCCGCTATATGCTGGCAGCATTCGGGAAAATCAAAATTTTATCTGCAGTCAGAACGAGCTAAGTATCATTATGACGATGTGGCACGTGCAGGGTATCTTTGATATTTTGGATGGATATTTCTGCAATGCTACGACTTTGTCTGGGGTTTAGTAAATTGACTGCAATTTGTAAAGCTCAGTGTGTGTTTTGAGTATGTCGTTTATGCATAAAGAAATGTATTCGAAAAATAAAAATAAATATGAATAAAGAAAGCTATTTTACGATAAACCTTACTCTAGCATAGAGGATAAAACCGAAATATTTGCAGAGCCATACTTGAATAATTTTTGTAATATTTATTAATGCTTGAATTTTCCGATTTAAGAAATACGCATTTAAAACGATGCATATTTTGCAACAGAAATCCCTATGGAAAATCCAACTTTTAGAAAACAAATGTATTTTATGCTGATGGCGAATGATTTGGGTCAGCTGCATTGCTGAAGAATGTCGTCATCTCCTAATTCAAACGCACATACCGAGACATATTTAACAGCGGAAAAAAATAACAGAAGACGTGGTTTTTCTCTTCCTCTGGCTCCGTTGTCATAAAAAATGCTAGTAGCCGCGGTTTCTCGCCAAATCATTTTTAAACGTTTTACACATTTCATTAATTGATGGTCATCCCATCTGTCATTGCCTCCTGTGGCCTTGATTTAGAAGCTTTCTTTTTCCTTATATGAGCTTCATCTTCTCCAGTACCACTACACTTCTATTGAATTCTTGCAAACTATTTTGATGCCTCCAGTCTGAAATCAGATTGAAATAAATATAAACCACAGATTTCCAGATTTATTATTCATCATTAAATTCGCGTTTACTTTTGCTTTTTACCAAAAGAAAAACAATTTTTAGCTGACAATTTTCACAAAAAATCCAAACAAATTTGTCAACAAAGAACATGTTTGGGAAAAGTTAAAAATTATTGTGACAAACTACTTTTATAACATTATTCTCAAATCGATCACTGAGCACAAAAATGAGGGAACACAAGTCGGACATAGACAAAAAGAGACAACAGCGTTATCACAGCATGCCTTTCACACTAGCCACTCACCAGACTTTGATAGAAATATTAGACTAATTATTCAGAGCCTTAGAATACAACAACATATTGACAAGACGATGAACCTAAAGAGGATACCGACAACATAAGTTCGTTCAACGAAGTTGCAATAAAGTGAAACAAACTGTGATACTAATTTTTAGGTAGTGTAGTTTATCATATGTTCTTTACATAGAACATCGTCCTAAAAATTATATTGTAAGTGGACCTATTTTTGTGACTTAATTTGAAATTAATTGTATCCGTTTAATTTCTGCTACCTTCCCCAAAAGGGGTCAAAATTTTGAATATCTAATCGAATCCATTCCGACTTGGTACATAAAGATGGTAGATATCAGACCATTCCTTCAGGAACCTCCCCTACAAAGGGTCAAAGTTATGAATAGCCAAAACGATTATAAAATCCGAAATAAGCATCCGGTTCTGTTCATATTTCACACATCCCATTACACACATTTTGACTTTTATTCGACGCACATCATATAAGTTAAGGAAGTAGTCGCTACAGTCCAAACCTGGCACTTCTACATCATATTTATTTATGTCCGATACAAAATGGACAACATTGCCCTTTTCCTCGGAACCTACTCCAATTGGATTTATTATAAGAGAAGTCAAAATATATTTAAATAATCGAACACTGGCTGACGGTATACATCTGTCGGCAAACGACTGATACTTCTTAACTTGTTTTATTTTAATTCGTACATGAAGCGAGAGATAAAAAAGCTGAAACACTCAACCACATAAATTTGACGAAATTTTTATACTCTTCCCCCTTGGGAAGTAAAACTTGTATAATTATGTCCATAAGTGCCGAAATTCCAGTATTTAAGCGGTTTACGTTAGTTCTGTTGTTAGGAGAATGCGATTACACATTTCAAGCAATTTAGAAATACCGGTTATGAAGCAGTACTGTTGAATAAAGGAATATATATATAATGTTCTGCCAAGGTAAATAGAATACATTACGAACTCAAAATACATAATACCAGAATGTACCACTATATGGATGCTACATATAATGTTCCGTCATAGGAGGTAGAACCCATTACGACCTATGAATATGGATATTTAGACAATCTCTAAATCGATGTAGAAAAAGGCTTTGTCGAAGTCACATTTCGTAAACTTCAAATTTGGAAGATAAACTTCAAATTTGGAAGATTCGGATAAAAAGCAAGCCTAGCGATCCTCAATCTTTTTCATCTCAAGTTAATGCAATTGGAGCCCGAAATGAAGTGTTCGATTCTCATCGCACTCGGCCAAGGTTTGCCCTATTGAAATGGCAATTGCTCATTCTTGCTGCCGATTTCCACAAATTCCCCATCCGGCGTGGTTCAGCTCCATGCAATGGGTGTCTGCATACCATCACTCGATGAATACAAATTACACTTTTTGCGTTTTCAATAATCCGAAAGGAAAATTCGGACGCTCGTTCATTTAATCATTCGTTCGTTCATTCATTCCAACGGCGTGAAAGAAGGGACTTCTCAGCGAAACAAAAGGAATCTCTGGGGTGCAATTAGTAAATACCTCCTGTTCTAAAGAACGAAATAAAATGACGACGATGGAGCTGTGGAATGCCATGGCACAAAAGCGGAATAATGGAAAAGGGAAATGATTATTTCGCAATTTGAATTTATTCTGCGATAAAGAATAAAAATACATTTGGAAAGACGAGAAGTGCTCAAGGAAAAGACAATTTACCGTTAAATTTTGTCTACAGAATATAGGACTTAATTAAATGCCAGTTCTGCTGGTGGTGGTGGTGATGGTGGTGAGAGTGTCAGGTTTGTTTTTGTTTCGTTTCACACACCATCAGCTAGCTCGGGTGTGTAGGACGGAAAGAGGATGCGAAGAACATATAATGCGTACTGCAAGTATCTACAGTAATTACATGGCACTCGGACAGAGTGTGAGGATACCTAAATTCCTTGTAAAATACGAGTTTTTCCTCTGACCGGACAAGCAATGTAACATGCACACCCATACAAATACAAAAAAAAAAAGAATGTCTATGTGTTCGTCAAGTGCGATGTCCTTAGCTTTTTTTCCAGATAATTCACTGCGTTTATTATTAAAGTCATAGCCCAACATTTGACAAAGAAAAAATAAAGTACAAGGAAATGGGGAAAGAGGACATAATAATAAAAGTACAATTTCGGCCACAAAAGCCCAACGTCTTAGTTTGCTCGGTGGACCGCCTTCAATTGCCAACAACAACGACGACAAATTGCTTTTACTGTTCCGGCTGTTCACTCAGGCGAGTCTGATCACAATTATTGGAGTGGAGATGGACAATGACATTGTACCATTTTTGGAAGCGCCATTGCTGTTGCAGACGTCCATTCCAATTTGCAGTGGCTAGAAATTCGCACAGCTAGTTTCGATAAGGGGATATGTAGACATGCCCTTGTGTCTGAATGTGTGACGATAACTTTCGAAACGAGTGTCCGATTTGGTTACAATATTCGTCAATGGACTTTTTAATATTTCTTCCAATTCTGGATGAGGTACATTTCACAGAACGTAGTAACTGGGCTGTTGCAAAATAATCAGATTTAATTACATTGTTGTTGTTTTTATAAAAACAACGTTTATACAGGAAAGAGCCACCATAGCTCATCTGTCTCCGTGCTTTTGTCCGGGGAGTAGTTTAGAAAAACCAACTCCTATGACTGGAACTTTGTTACACCCAAGTGACGCTCGCAAGCGCAATACAGGATGAGACGAAGATGATCAAACTTGATACTATATTCTGGCCATCATGCTTCATTGAATACAGTACCAAGAGGTAGCAAAAAATTAATTGACTACTTAAAATTATTGCAATTTTCCCCGAAAGTGACTCGGAATAGGATTTACACAAATTATTTGGTATTTGAGGAACTATTCTGCTCATATCCTTGAAAAGAGTTTGTCGGTGAAAAATCAGTTTTTTACGATTAAATGGGATTATTCGCCATTACAGCCAGATAACATTTTTTTTGGTGGTTCCAAAAAGTATCTGTGTTGTCGCCCATAAGCCTTGTTTATCACAAATGTCTGTATAATAAATACAACTTGCCATACCGGGGATTGGGCATCGAGCCAGGCCAAACTGACAATGTCTTTACATTACAAGTGTTATTGTTCGCTTCCGATAATTGGCACATTTAGTAAAGGACGTACCAGCGAAATGGTCGTAGCCATCAACGCCAATTCATTTTCTGGCCCCTTGAATGGCCTGGTCGCTGCTTAGCTGATACAACATGGCCATAAAATGTGCGTAAGCATGGCGCTCAGGGGAGGACGAGAAGGAACCTCAAAAACTTCTAGTTTACGACTCGTTCCGTCTCCATGTAGCAATGTCAGCATTATTATCTGTCCTTATGTTTTCTTGTAATTCCGTCACTTTGTCCTGTGAACGGACAAATGAAAGTGGAGCTGGCTGCTAACTTTCTTTTGGGGTAGCAATTGCTACATGACACCGACAGGCAGCATCGACAAGTCGCCACAAACGCCACACAGACAGAGACAATCTGGGGAGGCCTCGGTGTGGAGTTGAAAATTCATTTTGGTTTTTAATGAATTTGGCCTAGGGATGGTGATGCTTACATCCTGGCACAGCCTTGGCTTGTGGGTTTGTTGGTCGTTCCAAGTGACCCGCTGTTTCATTGGCTTCAACGTCGTTATTTGTGTAGTCTCATCTAGAAGTGGTTGTTCTTGGACGAACGTCGGTTACAACAATTACACCAAATTAGTTTTAAACGGGTCCCAGATGTTGGCAGCAATGTCGAAGTGTTCGACAAAGTGCGTCAAATTTGTTGTCTACTGTCTAATTAAAAAATGGTTAGATTAGGTAATGTCATGTATTATTTGAAATAGTTTTGTTCAATCACTTCTTAACATCGACAATAGGAGATACATATAGGTACCAGAAGATGTTTGTGTACTGAGCAGAACTCTGAAGCGATGTGGAGTTATGGCGTGGTGATTTTTACACCCTCAGCCATATGGCTAAGGAGCTAAGGAGAGGAATGTGCACACAATTGCTCACGAAAGGGGTATCCGATTTGGCCCCAACTTGGAACATCCTAATATTTTATGTCAAACGAAGATCAAGTTGGAAGGTGGGTAATACAAAAACACACACACTTTTCGCTTCTGATGGTAAAAATTGACTCAATTATAAAAATTTCATATCGGACGAAAAGCAAAGGGATCATCCGATTGCGTCTGAAATTGGTATCACAATTTTTTTATCAGGACTAGGTTAGATGGAAAAATGGTCAATATCGGTCGACTCCTTGTACCACAGATTTTCTTCAAACATTCAATTACTTTCATTAGCACTGGAAGTATCCGATAGAGGGTAAAGTTTTACAGCTATAGAAACGATTAAAACAACAGATACAATTCAGAAATGTGCATGGAATGTTTATTTGAATTGATAGTACGGTCCATACAATTTTATGTTGGAAGATAGAATGGTCCATCCGCTTAGTCCAATTTTCGCATACTCTTTCCAACGAATAAATGCTCGAAAATTATATTCCCTCTCAAAAAAAAAAAAAAAAAAAATAGTATAAAGGAGATAAATCTCACGATCTACGCGGCCAATTGTCGGTTCCGAACATGAACTAAAATGTTCAACGAACTCGCCTCTCCATAAGTCCATTGTTGAAACTACATGTAATGCAAGTCAAGATCTTGCTCCATCCACAGTTACGTTTCGATTCGCACAAAACCGCACCTAACTGTTACTTTTTTGGATGCATTGTTAGCTTCTGCAATGCTTCTGGCTGATCTTTACTCCAAAATCGACAATTCTGCTGAGTTACGCAGCCATTGAATTAAAAAATGAGCTTCGTCGCAAAATGCGCTTCTTCGTAATGTAATGTA